GATTATTGGAATAGTCTACATACATATACTACAGGCAAAAAGTTTAGGGGAACCCTCTAGATTTCGATCAATTGCCTAAAAACTGAAACCAATTTAATTGTTCACCAGAAGGACTTACTCTTCATGAAAGGATTTATCATATATTCAGTAATAATAATGAAATTAACTTATTGCATAAAGCTTCCTTAAAATTTTTAGCTCTTTTTGCCTAATCTATCTTGATGGCTAATGATAATCTTGGGGATGAAGGATTTTAAATTTTAGATAAACCCTTTCTAAAAAATTGGATGGCATGCACTAATGTGTGAAATAGCTCCTACTCAGATGCTGAAACTAAGTAAACCAAAGAAGGTATGAAACTTAAAAATTATTAATTCTAGAGTGGCCCCAGAAATTTTGGCCTATTTTGTATATCTCCTGCACTTATACAAATGGAATATAAAAAGGAAAATTTTGAGTATGTATTTCAATTTATTCCAGATTAAATTTGCAGGTAACAATAGCTTGATTACAGTAACAGATCAAAATTTGGAGGGGTTCAAAAATAAAAAAAAGGTGTATCAAATATAAGAGCCCATATTAATTCCTATCCTCCTGGCATTAATTTAAATTGATGTGTTGTGTGTATGTGTATATATATATAATTTAGACTGATCAATGAAGTGTTGTAATTCTTTATAATGTATTGGATTAATTGGCTTGTCTACACCAGTCCTTATCCCAACTAGAAAATGATAAATTAATAAAACTCTATCCAAACCTCAGAGGTCTTCCAGGCAGAAAGTCTAAAAGATTGCACTACTCACAATAACTATAACAATATTCTAACAAAAAAGAATTCAATTCTGATATATATATATATATATATATAAAATGACTGTTTTACTTAAAGTTTGTATATTGGTTTTAGGTAAAAACTTGTAAATTTTCAATATATTTTAGTGAAAGTTTTTACTTTTTAAAATTATATTCCTAAATATATTTTGGATGTAAGGAAAAAAATATGGCATTAATTTAACTTTTGGAGAAAGATATGGAAGAATACATTACATATTCTTGAGTATTAACAGAGGCCTGTATTTTCACATGCATATGATTGCACAAGTGGCAAATACTTCTTGAACCTGTTTATACAATATATAGCAAGAACTGTAGATGGGCTAACTGAACAAGTCAAATGTTACCCCATACACGTTCAATAGGGGGACAGGTCTCGCAATTGTGAACACCAGAGAAGTTATTGAACATCTTGCAGATGACATTGAGTAGCATTGTCTGCAGTTGATGTATATGCAACATTTCAAGACTATTAACTATTAGTCCCTAAGATTTGTATTATAAAAACTAACAAACACTTAGTGCTATTCCCAAATCAGCATAGACACATTGCTTTCCTCTTGAACAATGTCCGGAATGTATATGTTCAATGTTGCCTTCACAGACATCAAAGGTTGGGCCTGTATATCATGGGCAAGTCACTGTTGGCTTGCACAAAAGAGACAACTAGACATTCGTGGTTTTTGAGTGATTTGAATGATTTTCAGCGCAGTTATGAAACTGTGTTAATGTTATTTGCACTTAAGATGAAGATTAAAGCAATTTCTTTGCACCATTTACATTAAAGCATAACTTTCATAGTTTTAATTACAAGAACAGGAGTTTTGGTATAAAAGTTGGCAATAAAGAGGCAAAAATCCTGGAAAGATATGTCATTTTATATTTAACCCATATGACAGTGCTAAAAATGGATTCAGCACCTTGAAAATACAGGAATAGGAGTTGAGATAATGATTCTTTGATAAATACAAGAAAAGTTATACCAAAAACTGATATTTGGTGTCCAGCACATGGCCTCCAAATGTAGGTAATGATCAATTTAATATATCAAAGGAATTCAGTAGGGAATTGGACATTTTTTGGTAGCATCATTCAAAGATGGAGAGTCAGAGATAAAAAATAAAAAAGTAGGTAAAATATAACAAAAAAAATTGGTAGTTTAATATTGTAGAGCCTCCAAATCCATTTAATTTTTTTTTTTTTAATCATTTCACACTGAGCAAGGCAGTAAAGCAACTAAGACACAAGTGGTTATTGAATGAGAAAGAATAAGAAAAAAGAGAAATAATAGAAAGGGAGGAATTGAGAAGACAGTAGATAATGATTGACATTGCCTTTAAATTAAGATCAAAGTTGGCTGGAAAGCAAGAAACTGAAAGAGAGTTCCACAAGTGAGAAGTGTGAAAAAAGTAACTGTTAGCATAGAATATATGGTTGCATCTAGCCAATTCAATTGTAAATTGATGAGACCTTGCTGCCAATCTAGTACTGCACTTAAATTCATAAAGTCTAGTTATCATAGTTGAAAATTCATCATGACAATTACCATGAAAATATTTATAAAAAGGTACAGGGAGGCTATATTATGACAGTGGGAAAGTGACTGAAGCCTAGATGCCAGATCAGGACTAGTAGCATTGCAGATTCTTTGGATTTTATCAAGAATCTCTATATAGCAGGAGCACCAGACCAGATGTGGCAGCAATATTCAAAACATGGATAAATGGTAGATTTATATATAAAGGTAGATTCTTGAGAGAAAAATTGTCTAGCATGACAGTGATAAAACTTTCTTAGCAGCAGACCTAGCAATTGATTCAATATAATCTTTCCACTTCATGTTAGCATGATAAGATGCAATAAGTCACTCTCCTGAAGGTTAGCATCAGCCATGCTGATGGAAAGCAGAAAGTTGTCTCTCAGATGAGTTTTGGAGGTGTTAAATTTAACAAGCCATTCCTTGCCCCAGTTAACAGTCGAGTTATATACGTTATTTTTTAAAAAAACTATCAAGTTAAACATGTGTTTCATTTATAACATTCAACAAGATTTCAATGACTTTCTGGGCAAAAAGAGGCAGAACTGATCTTCCAAAAGCAAGTGATTAAACATGTATAGGTTTTAACTTCAAATGATCCTAAAATGTCAAATGTCCACTTGGCCATTCTCTATGTCTACATCGCACATAAAGACAGGCCTTTGAACAACTAAAACAGATAGCATGTGTAACTTGAAGAGAAAATAATGACATCATCAAAATGTTGACTTTCCACACAATCATGAACAAAAGATTAGGAAGGAAACCTCTATCAATTCTGGAAAGAGTTATAACAGTTATTGGAGTTGGGTAAGATTTTATAAATTTCAACTGACAGTGATGCTGTTTGGTCAATGAATGCCAAATGTTTCTTTATAAAGTGAACCACTAATTTCACTATTACCATTACCAATTCGATTACTGTATTTCATAGTATGTAACCATAGCTTGGCTCCATGAACAGAAATTCAAGAGCGTTGTCATATGACAAGTCAAGCCTATATGAGAGAGATAGAGAGGCATGTGTTTTCACAATGCCTACAGGTGAGGGCTTGGCATCTGGTGGAGACAAAGTTAACCTACAGGTGAGGGCTTGGCATCTGGTGGAGACAAAGTTAATTCTTTGCATTCCCCCTACTCTTCTATTTCCTTGAAATTTGGTGACATTGATTGCCTGTTAGATCCAGTGTTTCCATGGTGACCTATCTTTTGATTCTGCTACCTGCTGATTGAAGTTTAAACTACAGGAGTTGAGTCCTTTTCAAGGAATTCTTGTAATTTTTTGAGTGGAACACTGGTTCTCTTGTTAGCCAGAGACTAGGAATAGGATAGTTTCTGGAAGATGATAACCCCCTGTTCTAGACTAAGTCTGAACCACAAATGTTGAAATTATAATGGCATAAACAGATCCCCTCATAAAATGACTTAAACAAAAAACAAAATCTGTATATTACTCATTCATAGTTTAACTCCATATTTGCTGTAATATTAAGTAAAAACAAGGAAAGTTTTATAAGCCATCAAATATGGTGACTGAATAAATGGACTTTCAGTATATTTTCATTGTTTTCTAATAAAAATTTACCTTGTCTATAAAACAAGTTGCTTAGTCATTTTTTTTTAAATTGTAATGTTGAAAACAGGCCTAATAAATGAATTGGTTAGTCTGCTAGTTTTGTAAAAGAAAAAAAGAAGAAGAAAGTCGTTTATGAAGTATTTTTAGTTTCTCATACTGTATTGTGGAATTTCAATTTTTGTTATTTTTGGTAGTTTTTTCCTCTACCATCTAAAAAGCTTTCATTTGTGTCTTTTTGATCAGAGTAATATTGTTGCTTTTTTATCAACAAAGGTCAGTAAAAGTAAAATGACCAGAGTTCCTTGAAGATTTAGATTTCGAAATGATCTCCTTTAAAATGGCAATTTTTATTTAATGTTTATTAAAAATGAGTTTCAAGATTAAAAAATAATAAAGATGAAAAGAAATTTTAGTTAAAATTAATAAAACTGCTTCAAAGAAATTCAAAGATAATTATCTATTAAAAAAAAAAACATTGAGAAGTTTTAGAATTCAAAATGAACTCTTTTCTTTTTAATTTCTGACTTAACAAATTCTGCCTGTATACTTTTAGCAAAAGTTTCTTTTTTTTTTTTTAAACTTTAATTTAAAGTTCGACTTCATTGTAATGCAATAATGAGTAAACAAGTCTCTCAGATTCATAGGTTGTTCAATCCAAAATGATTGCTTAAAATCTGTAAATAGCTAAAACAGAGTATTAAAAAAAAAAAAGTTAAAAATACCAGAGGAATATTAAGTGTATATACAAATATTGATTTCTGAAAACAACAACAAAAAAAAAAATGGCACAAATTTATTAAAAACCTGTTACAACTAATAACAATTAAATATAAATATTTTAAAAGTCACAATGGGACAATTTAAAAAATAATTGAGAAAAAAAAAAAAGATAAGTTCCAGAATGGTAATGTGTTTCTATTTTTGGCCATATTTCTCTACAAGAACTTAAACTCTGCTCTTAATCAATTTTTCTTTTATTTTTCAAGTTTTTAGTTGTAATTATTTCAGTAGATCTGGTAGTAAAGTGGATGTTATGTGTTCTCTGCTTAGAATGCCGTGCGTCACAACCTTAGTCTTCACAAATGTTTTATGAGAGTTGAGAATGTTAAGGGGGCCGTGTGGACCGTGGACGAGGTAGAGTTCTACAAACGGAGACCACAAAAAATGAGTGGGTATGTTTTTGTTTGTTGTATTTTTTATATTTCTCTCTCTCTTTTTTTTTTTTCATAGTTTTTTTTTCTACAACATATTCATGTGGATGGCAAAGTTTGTGAAATTATTCCTTTTTGCAGAGAGTCCTTCCTTGAAAAAAAAAATTATTTATTATTTTTAATTCCTTCCTCTAATGTCCATTTTTTTTTGTTTGTTTTAAATACCGAATATTTTTATTTTATTCCCCCTCACCGACCCCAATTAATAAAAATTTTTTTGAATTTTATTTGGCTTTTTTTTCTTCTTATACCAAAATCATTACTGCAGCAAAAGATATATATCTTCAGCCAGACTGTCTTTATAAAGATCCTGTTACTTTAGTTTCATGCCTGAAACTCATAGTAATGGGAACCTTGATAAGCACAGCTTGAGATATATATTTATTTTAAGGCTCTAACAATTTGCATTGAACTCTTACTTTATTTTATATTTTAAGCTTTTTAGCCTATCTTTTATTTTATATATATATATATATATATATATATATATATTGAACAATAAAAAATATTAAAAAATTAAAATCTTCAGACACACTGGGTTGTAGATTAATATTCTTTTGTTTTTATTATTATTTCATTTAGATTCCTCGACTAGTTTCGGCCAAAATGGCCATCATCAGAAGAAATATTTCTGCTTGCTGGTAGCAGTGAACTACAGAAATGAATGTCTTGATGGAGAAAATGAACTTTTGTCTGTAGTTTTCATTTGTTTTTTTTATCTTTTTAACATGAATCTTTTAACATTCCTTGTGTTGGTCAAACAGTCTCTTTTAAGTTGTTATTTGAGATTATATATATGAAACATTTTGGACAGTGTATTGAGTCTCAGCTATTTCAGATAGGTGTACTGGGAACTTTTGCACAGACCTATTTTTTTTTTATTCAAATTTTCATTGGAATAAAAATGCTCTTTTAAAACCAAGAATAAAATTTCTCAAGTCTTATCAAAATTATGCCTTAAAGAACTGCAAATCCATAATTTAACAATTTAAATACACTTTAATTATGGCAGAATTATTAAAAGATAATCAATAAAATGTCAAACATTTTGATTCTACATTAACTTCAGCTCATGCATAAAACATTATCTATATTAATATATATAATATATATATATATATATATATATATATATATGAATATAGATGTATTTTTATTGATGTTGTTGAAAAATTGCCTAGTCTCTCAAAAGTACTGTTAACTATATAAAGTCCAGTCAAAATTCAAAAAGTATATGAAACAATGCTAAAGGTGTTTAGTAATTCCAGTGTTTTGATTGGTTATTTTCCTAATAGGACAGTCAGAATGTTTTATTCATTGTGAAAGATTCACATCTTCATTCAACATAGAAAATAAAAGCCACCTATAGAAAATTGGCGAGTGATGTTTATAGTAGGAGGATTGTATTATTCCTAGAGCAATTATTTTAAATTCTTTAAAAGAGAATGCAGACTAAAGAACTTCTTGTTATTAAAAAAAAACATTTGCTTTATCAAAGCACAACATCAGCCAACTCCTAACAGAACATCTGATGGTGATAAGAGCAATCTCCAACAATGTCAGCAGAATTTTGGTTCTCTGAATTTAATAAAATACATATTTGGGATTTAAGGATATAAAAAAAAGCAAAAAATCTTGTTGAAATTGCATGAATTGACAATGTTCTTGTTCAAGAATAAAAAATGGAGAACTTAAAATCTTATAGAAGGTGAGCAGTAACTGAAGTTTGTTTTGGTTTATGGCCATATCAGGTTGAAACTCTAGTTTGCTTATGATCACCAAAGTTAAGCAACATCAAGTCTGGTCACTACTTAGATGAGTGACTCCTTGGAAATACCAGGTGCTGTAAGCTTGGATGTGCAGGTAGTGTAATGGATAATGGCTTGGAATTTTTAAGTGGAGAGCAGAGTTCCAATTCCACTTGGGTTTGTTATATTCACTCTTGTAGAAATAGCCTCGTGAAAGGTATGAATCTGCCACCTTCTTCCACCATCTATGGGTTAATTAGTTGTAAATCATTATTTTCAAAAAAAATTCTTAAAACCTAAAAATATTTTCTGGCTTTAAATAACCTGCAATAAAAACTACCAACTTCAAGTTATCTCATGCTTGGCATTTTATGATACATTTTCATCTGTGGGTACCAACAGTTTATTTGTATTGATACTTTTAGTGTGAAAACAATGTTAAGACTTCAGTTGAAGCTATAAATCAACTTTTAAAAATATTTTATTTCCTAAATAAATAAATAAATAAATAAATAAATAAATCAACTAACAATAATTTTGATTGTTTAAATTGGCTATTATAAAGTTGCTGTATGAAGTCAGATTCCATAATTAACCTCTGGCAGTCGACATGTTAAAATAAATAAAAGTACCTCTCTCTCTACTAGGCTCCTAAGTTGAATGAAGAAGTATATAAACTGATTGCTCAACAGTAATTTCTAGTGATGAAAGTAGAGCTTCATTGAATGAACCTAATTGCTAGTTGCGGCCATTGTAGAGGGACCAAGCGGGGTTTAGTGTTGTTGGATTGGAAACAGATGCTGTTTATTCCTGCTAGAAGAAGGTCCAACTACAAGAAAATGGCGGATTTAGAAATTTGAATCCACCATAAAGAAATGTAAAGAAAAAAACAAAATAAGACCTATATATATATATATATATATATATATATATATATATATAATCAACAAATATATGTATTAAAACAACAATTTTACAAGTGACAAAGACATTAACATTTGTGTGTGAATGTAAAGAGTTTGTATTTTGATGAATGTTCATACATTCATCAAAATACAAACTCTTGACATACCAAGTAACCCATATTAGAATTGAAAATAAAATATGTGTGTTTCATGGCGCTTTTCCACAAGTGGACGAAAATGCGGATCTCTATGAGAGATCACATTTTTAAATATGTCCGCTGAAATGCAAAGTAGAAAAGGAGAATGAGGCAAAAAGTTGCCCAGTATTTATAGTGTAGGGAGAGTATCCCCTAGTGAACAATTAGGGAATTAAGAAGGAGCGAACTCCGACAACCTCATGGAAATCATATCAACATGACTTAGAAGACAATAGGTGGTAGACTAGTATTGTTGGCAGTAAAAGTACATTCAAAATTGATGATGATGTTAGGATAAATTCAGAGAATTATTTTAAGTCCTTGGAGTGGTCCAGGTGACAACTAAGAATCTTTACACAAAAGAATGGATACATACAATGGCACCTTCAAATTCTTCAGCTCACCTTGCCGTAAAAAGGTTTCCAAAAATGACTTCCAGCTTTTTATTAATCCAAAAGAAACTTGTGGTACACCATTAAAAAAGATGAATATGAGAACTGAAAATGATATTCCAGCAAAGATCTCTAGGAAGTAATAAAAGCCGCTGTAAGTTATGTTAAAGTCAAAATAATAGAAACTAAAGTTAATAAAATTACAAAGTGAAAGAAAAATGATGTTTAAAGAATACCAAGTAACCCATATTAGAATTGAAAATAAAATATTTAAATAAGTTTTTTGTGGTACAGAATTTAATAATAGCTAGGAAAAGGCAAAATTTATAAGGCATTTTTAAAAAAAAAAAACAAAAAAAAAAACACAATCTGTTTTGTCCCAGGACTTGTTAAGTTTATTTTTTCTGGCAATAACAATATAAAAGCATGTAAATTAAATTAACAAATGGAATGGAAATAAAAAAAAAAAATGAATTTCAAGAAACTAGAGTCCAATAACATTCAGACCCAGTAAGCATTCCCTCTGTTTACAAAGGGAAGTCCCATGAGATCTGATATACAAGGGCTCTAGAACCTTGAGGTGATATGTGGAGTGGGACCTAGATAAAATCAAAAAACGGTCCGCACTTAAATTAATCACACATTTCTTGCTATTTATTACATACTCAGAAATAGCAGAGCCAGAAGTATTGATCAGTTGGCTTTTCCTGGCAACCGGATTCATAATCCTTTGATTTGTTTTATTCTCAAATCCAAACACCTGGATCTCCTCCCTATATAGTTGAGTACACAACTACACTTATATTGATAAATCACTGAATTAACATGATGGAAGAGAAAACAAGATGGGTAACAAATATTACCCTAACATTCGCCAAAAAATAACAGCTATTGATCATAAAATAATTTATTTTGGGATATAAGACATAGCGTTAATCAAATATACATTTCTTTGACCTATATTTTTTGTATTTATTTATAAATAAAATTTTTATTTGCATAAATTTAAAATATGACATTCCCAAAACAAATTATTAATATTTTTAATAAGGAAAGATGAATAAAATACACAGCAGAATGAGACAAGAACAGTGTGGGTTTGTCAAAAACATTGGAAAAAGGAATGCAATAATTATGCTCAGATTGTTATCAGACAGAGCAATACAAATGCAGAAGGACGTGTACCTGGGTTTTATAAATTACACAAAGATGTTTGATAAAGTATTCCACAAAGATCTGTTACAACTGATCAACAACCTTGACATATTTGTGAAGAATATTAGAATAATCAAGAACCTATACTGGCAGCAAACCACTTGTATGTTGATAGAAAATGAGATCAGCAGATATACAAAAATAGAAAGACAAGGGTGTGTCTTCTCACCAGACTTATTCAACATATATAGCAAGGTGATTCTGAGAGAACTAGAAGTCCTATCAGAATTCATTATTGGTGCTCACAATCTTAAAAATATCAGATATGAAGATGACAGTGTTGATAGCAGAAATGAAAAGAAAAATAGAAAAAACTCCTACAGAAGGTATTGAAGGAAAGTGAAAAGAAAGGATTAAACATCAATTGCAAGAAGACAGAATTCATGGTTGTTAGCAAAAGGATGAACCCAAAATGTAAATTACAAATCAGAGATACCAAAATCAAGCAAGTACAAAAATTGAAATATCTAGGAAGTGTTTTAACAGAAGACAAGAGAGTGTGACACTGAAATCAGAAGATGCATTGGAATAGACAAAGATGCATTCCTAAAGCTAAGCAAAGTATTAAGAAACAGGAAAAACCTCATTAGAAACCAAGCAATGAGTACTGAACTATTATGTGATATCTATCCTCGTGTATGGCAGTGAATGCTGGACAATCTCCTCAAAGATGAAGAAGAGACTTGAAGCAACAGAAATGCGGTTCTACAGAAGGATGCTGAGGATACCATGGACTGAATATATATGAGCGAAGACAAAGTTTTAGAGAAAAATGGAAACAAAAAGGAAACTTAACATCAGGAGGGTACAGTTGGAATTTCTAAGGTACAAAATGGGGAAAGAGGACTTGGAAAATCTGATACTCTCAGGAGAGATTGAAGGCAAGAGGGATAGAGGAAAACAATGCATAATATGCTTAGTAAGCTTGAGTAAACGGATCGTGAAACAAGGTTTATGAGAAATAACAAAAGAGGAAATTTATTAAGCACTACAAAAGACAAGAAATTGTGGAGAGCTACAATAAAATAATAATAAAAGAATAACACATTATTTCAAGTAACATGGTTGTTAGCAAAAAGATGAGCCCAAAATGCAAATTATAAATTAGAGATACCAAAATCAAGCAAGTACAAAAATTGAAATATCTAGGAAGTGTTTTAACAGAGGTCGGAAAGTGTGACAATGAAATCCAAGGGCACCCTGGGATAGCCAAAGATGCATTCCAAGAGTATTGAGAAATAGAAAAACTTTGTTAGAAACAAAGAAGAGTACTGAACTGTAATGGCAGTGAATGCTGGACAATCTTCTCAAAGATTGAAGCAACAAAAATGTGGTTCTACAGAAGGATGCTGAGGATAAATATATGAAGAACGGCAAAGTTTTAGATGAAATGGAAACATAAAAGGAAACTTATATTTAACACAAGGAAGAGATAATTGAAATTTTCTCGGGAACATAATGAGGAAAGAGGGCTTGAAAAATCTGATACTCACAGGACAGATTGAGTGTAAGAGGTACAAAGGAAAATAATGTATAACTTACTAGTGAACTTGAGTAAATGGATAGCAAAACATGGTGTGGGAGAAATAGCACAATAGAAAATTTATTAAGAGCTAGAAAGGACAGGAATTTGTGGGGAGCCAGGACTACCCATGTTCGGAGGAGACATGACACATGAAAAAATAAGCTCCTGTTATATTGCTGATATAAACATTCCGAAAATCCATTATCCATTACGTCACCTGCACATCTAAGTTTACAGCACCTGGTATTTCCAGATGGTCACCTATCCAGGTACTGACCAGGCTCAATGTTGCTTAATTTTGATAATCATACAGGAACTAATGTTTCAACTTGATATGACTATAAACCCTATTTCATTTTGGTATCCTAGTAATCTTTTGTACCAAATGCAATGTGTTGTCTGGAATAGTCATACCAGTGTTATAAACTAAGTGTGACAGTTCAAAGAAATGTTCCCCTAGGAATTTCTATATAAGTTTAATAAATGTTCTGGTTTGAATAAAAGTACTTGGAAATGTTTTGAAAAATAAGGTGTCATATGAAATAAGCACTGCATTAGCATTTGTTTTTGGTAGACAAGAGTAGCTAAGAAGTATTTCATCAACAACAAAAACAGTAAAGACAAAGTCTTAATATTTGTTGGAAAGGGAGGTTACTACACTGTAAATTTTATGATGAGAATTCAATTGAAATATCTTATGAGATACTTTACAGTTAGTATAGGACCACTCATTAGTATGACCAGTTCTAAGTGATGCCCAAATACAACTGAGGTCAGTCATTAATAAGAGAAAAATTGTGACTAAATATTAGTCATAATAATTATAATATTAGTTATTTTCTTATATCGAAACATTAAGTATTCATTG